CCTCCCTTACCACCCACTCCACCCCCTCCCACTCCCCCCCCCTCAATACCCAGCAGAAACTATTTTGCCCTTATCTCTAATTTTGTTGTAGAGAGAGTATAAGCAATAATAGGAAGGAACAAGGGGTTTTGCTGGTTGAGATAAGGATAGCTATACAGGGCATTGACTCACATTGATTTCCTGTGCGTGGGTGTTACCTTCTAGGTTAATTCTTTTTGATCTAACCTTTTCTCTAGTACCTGTTTCCCTTTTCCTATTGGCCTCAGTTGCTTTTAAGGTATCTGCTTTAGTTTCTCTGCGTTAAGGGCAACAAATGCTAGCTAGTTTTTTAGGTGTCTTACCTATCCTCACCCCTTCCTTGTGTGCTCTCGCTTTTATCATGTGCTCATAGTCCAATCCCCTTGTTGTGTTTGCCCTTGATCTAATGTCCACATATGAGGGAGAACATATGATTTTTGGTTTTTTGAGCCAGGCTAACCTCACTCAGGATGATGTTCTCCAATTCCATCCATTTACCAGCGAATGATAACATTTCGTTCTTCTTCATGGCTGCATAAAATTCCATTGTGTATAGATACCACATTCTCTTAATCCATTTGTCAGTGCTGGGGCATCTTGGCTGTTTCCATAACTTGGTTCCAAATTATTCTTGATGAGTCATTAAAACAGGTACCCTAAGGATGAAGTGTCAGAACTAAGGAGACAGGACCTTAGGGACCATTTAACTTCTGCTGCTCAACCTGTGGTCCACCCAGGAGCTTATTAAATGCAAAATTTAGGGCCCCACTCCAGAGCCAATACACTGGGGTTTAGGCTCCATATCAGAGCTTGCAGTTTGACGAGCTCTAGATCCCCAGGTGATTTGAATGCGTGTGAAAATCTGAAGTCCAAAAAACTGAGACTCAGAAAGGTCACACAGTGAATTACTGTCTAGATTTAGAGCCAATTCTGACTTACAAGTCAGTGCCTTCCCCCATACCTGACTGCAATATACTGTTTGTCTGGATCTATTTATTGAATGAACTTGAACTTAAGTCAGTTTCTTTTCTTTTCCTTCCTTCTTTTCTTTTCTCTCTTTCTTCTCTCTCTCTCTCTCCCTCTTTCTCCTTTTTTTTTTTTTTAAGTTTGGACCCAGGGCCTTTCTCATGGTCTACCACTTGAGCCACACTCTTGGCCCTTTTTCTTTGTTCTTGCTTCTGAGATAGGGTCTGGCTAATTTTGTCAGGGTTGGTCTTGAACTTGCTATCTTCCTGTCTTTGCTGGGATCACAGGCATGCACCACTACACTCAGGTCTTGCTAAGTTGTCTCTTGAAGAGAGACCCAGACTCCTGGGCTTAAGAGATTGTCCTGCCTCTGCCTCCAGAGTAGCTGCATGCCTTCCCCCCATCATGGGTTTGCTCTTGTTTCATAGTTGTATACAGTTGTTAAACTCATTGAACTGATACTTAAACCTGGGAGCTTGCTATTGTATGTGTGTCATTTCTCAGTAAAGTTGAATTGAAATGTAATTTTCCATATCTTTTTATGTTGTGGTAAAACTGCCATAAAATGTTACCATTTCAACCATTTTAAAGCATGTAACTGAGAGCGTCAAGGGCACTCACCTTGTGTGACCGTCACTGCCATCTACCTCCAGAACCTTTTCATCTTCCCACACTGAAACTCTGTAGCCAGGTTTTGAGGTTTTTAGATAGGATTGCCTTCTGTTGATAAATTAAATCGAAGGATCAACCATCACTGTATGGTTTATCACGACTTCAGCTTATTCGTGTGTCTTAGTTGCTATTATGAAATGCCAGCGGTGAGGTACTTAAAGAAGAGAGATTTATTTAGCTCAGAGTTTTGGAGGCTAGAAGTCTAAGACTGGATAGCCCATTGGTTTGGCCTTTGGTGAGGGCCTGATGGAGAAAGGCAACATGGTGTGTACTGCAAGAGGGAGAGTTCACAGGGTGAACAGGAAGCCACCGAGTGCAGTTGACTTGTCTTGCTTGCTTACAACATCCCTCTCTTGTGGGAACAAACTGGGATCATGAAGGGTGAAAGTCCAGGTGACCCAGTTACCTCCCAAGAGGTCCTGCCTCTTAAAGGTTCCACCAGATTGCTATACTGTGGACCAAGCTCCCAACACATGTTGAACCTTTGGTGACAAACTCAAACCCTATCCAAACAGTAGCACACAAGAGCCATTATTTAAAAATCTCCAAGATTTTGGTTGCCTTTGTGATTATGAGTTAATAGTGTCTTTTGTTCTGTTTTGTTTTTCGAGACAGGTCTTGTAATGTAGCCTAGGCTGTCCTGGAGCTTGCTTTGTAACAGGCTGGACTTGAACTTGTGACCCTCCTGCCTCATCCTCCTGAGTGCTGGGATTATAGGAGTGTACCACCACATCCATTGATAGTGCTTTTACTGCCTTGTTCCATTTTAAAATTTCTCCCTTTTTCTTTTTTTTTAACTTTTTTTTTATCAGGTGGTCAATATACTGACTCCATAAGGTTTGAGGTAGGTACAGCTCACACAGTGGTGTGAAAGCCCATCCATTACACTTGTGAGCCACAAAAGATTTGGCTTTGTTAGAAAAAATGTTGTGTTAAAACGCTAGGCAATAAAATGATTAGATATGTTTACCTCATACTGATGAAACTTTTGCTATGGAGACACATCTGACTTCACCTCTGCCCGTCGCCTCTCCAACCTAGGGTTTCTGATTCCTTTTCAACACATGCCATCTTAGGTCCGTCTCAGGGAGGAGATTGGGTGTCTAACTACTCCCTGTAGATGTGCACCCGGGAACTGGGGTGTAGCTCAATGCAGAGCGTATGCTTAGCCTGCGGAGGCCCTGGGTTCCCTCCTCAGGACCACCAAAAAGCAAGGCAAACACAAGAACTGATGTGTTCAACCAGCTCTTTGAACTTTCATGCCTGTCCTGATGGCTGTCTGTCTAGGAACTCAGTGTCTTTTCAGTTCTTTCTCTCTGCAAAAGCCATTGACATGATGATATCTTTCCCATCTTCTGAAATCTTGTTGATATCACCTTTTCCAGAATTTATACCTTTCCAGTCCTTAATGCCTTTCTAGTCATTTATGCCATTTTTACAGGGGGGAGGGGTAGGAGTTGGGAGGGGCATGGGTTAGAAGTGTATTAAATCTGCAGTGTTTAACTGGAAGTCTTTCTTTTGTAATTAAAAGCAATCTTCTTGATCTATTTTTTTTGTTATAAACCCTGTCTTATTTATTCTTGGTACTGAATGCATGCTCTTACTTTCTCATTTGCCTGTCTCACTTGAGTTTTGACTACACTACTGGTCTTTATAATTGGCTGACTTTAGGAAAAATCTTTTTTAAACTGGTTATTCTTTTTTTGTTTGTTTTTGGCATTACTGGGGTTTGAACTCAGGGCCTCTGGCTTGCAAGGCAGGCACTCTACCACTTAAGCCACTCTACTAGTCCTAAAAAGAATTTTTTTTAAAGGCATTTGACTATAACTTTTAATTATTTAACAACTTAAAAAAACCCTTTTCTAATTCCTAACACCTTCCTTTCCCTATTTTCTTCTTTGCTTTTTACCAAGCTTCTTATATTAAAATTCTGCTTTTCTTCTCTGGCTGACTGTTTTTGTTTTTCTTTTTTTTTAAAAGTATAAAAACATGTTAAACTCAAAATTTCTGCAGTATATAAGTTTTTATACCTAGTATTAAACATTTCAATTTGGTATCTTCTTTGTCCCAAGAATGGTTTGGAGAATGTTCTACAAGTAGGTTTCTTTGGAGGATGTTAGTCTTAAGTTTTGCTTTGTGGTTTTGTTACTTTGTTACGTGGTGGTTGTATAACATGGCCTGTAGAGTTTTGACTTTTTAGACATTTGTTGCATTTTTTTTATGCTCTGAGATATATTTTGTAAATATTCCATGGTCAATTTGTGATGATTAGTGGTTTGTTTCATTTCTATGTTTCTTTATTAAAAAAGAAGAAAAACAAGAGCCAGAGTGTTTAGACATCTCCTGCCTCAGTTGGTTTCATGCCTGGAGCAGCCCCAGGGCTAGGCTCCGTTACCTGGGTAACAATGGGACCACTGCGAAGATGGAATTTCATGCAGACTGTTCTCTGTACTAGGCCACTCCTGAAATTACAGACACTGAGCATGAAACCCGATACCCTACCTTGCCTCAGGTAGGAATTCCTGTTTGATCTAGGGCCATGTATCCCCATCTGGTAAATTTGGACATTTTAGGAGTTTTAGCCGCAAACATTTCTGCTGTTTATCCAAACAATAGGGTTCTGGTTGTCCTACTGGGACTTGGCTGTTAGCTCCCTGACATCTTAAACACATTCACTTTTTCCCTAAAGGGAAAATGGATGGAGTAACAAGCAGACGTGTTCTGAGTGGTAATGAGCCACTCAGATGCTTTTATTCAGTCAGTGAATAAAAAATCACAGTGAGTGTCTATAGTGTACCATAACGTGCAGACAAATGTCAGAATCACTTCCTTAAACAGCTCACTCATGACACCAAGCTAGGAAGGCAGAGCTGGGATCAGAAGGAGAAATTAACACAATTGAAGATACATTTGCTTTTCTGTAAGAATGGAGGAATGAAGGAGACCTCAGAAAAAAGGAGATATTTAGCCTGGTTCTTGACACGGGAGTAGGTGACTTCGAGGTAGACAATGAGGCAAGGCATTCCAAGCTGTGCCTGGGAAGAATGACAGTAGACGGCCTGTTAGAAAGAGTCATCCCTCTTCTGCCTACAGGGTACCATGAGGTTCAGATTTAGGAGCAATGAGACTGAGAGAGCTGAAGAGTGGGACTGTTAAACGTGTGGATTGTCGCATAGAAGAAGTCATACTGTATCTCTGGATAGTTAAGTTGCCATTGAAAGTCTGTAAGGATGAGACTAGATTGGGCCTGTTTTATTTTGGTTCTCTGTGCAGAGCGTCCACTAAATGGATCTCATCTTGAGCTTTGCTTTATCTGAAATGTACAATTTATGATTTGGGTTTAGACGTCTGTGCCACCTGCCATGAACATGCCACATGCCAGCAGAGAGAGGGGAAGAACATCTGTATTTGCAACTATGGATTTGTGGGCAACGGGAGGACCCAGTGTGTTGGTAAGTTTTGAATCATGGGTCAAGTCAAAAGGTGGGATCAGGAAATAAGGTTCTCCAGTGTTAGGGTTGATGTCCTTGTGGGGAAAACATGGATATTTTGTTCACTTTTTTTAATGTGACATTTTGTTGATTATAGTAAGTCTTTGTTTTCGTGTTTGGATAAATCCTTTTTCTGGTTTCCAAGGAAGTACCCCTCTTGTTAGCGGTCACTGACCTCGACTCTCCGGCTCTCCGGAAACTTTCCGACCTAACACAAATTTAAAGTCTTGAGTTTAACTTAATAATTTAAATGACTACTGTATTTCTCAATTTCTTTGTTTAATCTGATATAAAACTATATTGGTACCATGAAGAAAATCCATACTTTCCTATTGGACTTTTTGATTAATTGATAAAAAAAAATTAACTTGCTTTGGGTCTTATGTCTGCCAGATTCCATCCTATAAATTTTTTGTTGTGACCCTTTGGGGACTTATACAACTTAAAAAAATACAAAGACTTTTAGGCTAAAAGCATCTGAGACTATTTTTTGTCTCATGGCAACCATGTTGTGACAGTTGGATGATATCTAAATTCAAGTCCAAGTGAGAGAGAGAGTGTATTTCACAATTTATGACAGTAAATGTGACAATAGCCTAGCTTCTTCCTAGCAACCTTGTTACACACAGTAAAAATAGTCACAGTTTTGTCTTGCAGTTGTGGACAGGCAATGTGTATAGCTTCATTGTGACATGGTGTGTGTACATGTGTGTATGTGTGTGTGTGTGTGTGTGTGTGTGTATGTTTACTCCTTAAAGAAGAATGACAATTCAATCCTGCTTTCAAAAAGTCATTTTCCAAAACTTGAGGCATGGTGACATCTGTAATCCCAGCTATTTAGGAGGCTGGAGCAGGAGGATTGCTTGAACCCAGGAGTTTGAAGCCAGCCTGGGCAACACAGCAAGACCCCACGTCAAAAAAAAAAAGTCCCATTCTCTGCATTCTTCTTTGCAGATGCAGGCTTTCACAGCCACCCACCATCACCTTTCCTGCAGGTGGAGTTGCATCCTCTTTGACACCTGCGCCCTTGCTCTTTCGGGTTCTACCCATTCGAAAGGTGACTGCTGCTCAGGGAATCCACTGCCACACTGCTGTTGTGTGCCTCATGCAGATGAAGCTGGACTTGAGCTCGGATGAGCTTTCCTTTCATGAATTCCTTCTTTCATGCAGCTGAACTCTTGATTGCCCTTTGACCTAAACAGTAGCTGCTTCTTTTTTTTGTAGTACTGGGACTTGAAGTCAGGGCGTCACACTTGCTAGGCAGATGCTTTACCACTTGAGCCACTCCACCAGCCCAGATGATTCTCCTAGTGGGAGGAGGAATTCACTAATGTGCTTAGTCCTTTTTCCCAAACATGATGCATGTTCTAGTGAGGTCATACATGTGTCAAAGGTGCTTAAACGTGAGCTTAAGCCAAGATAGTTAAGAATTCTGGAATCCTACATCAACTCTAGTGTCCCAGTGAAGTCTGCAGGGAGACCTCTCAGAAACAATGACAAAGGACAGAAATATCTGATTTTATGCAGAGCTTTGTTTGCATTAGAAAGCTCTGTGTAGTGTTCTCTCACCTGGACTTCCATTTGACAGAGCTATGGCTCGAGGGTTCTGTCTCTCTGATCTCTCAGGCAAATCTTACCACAGACAGTTTTACCTATGAATTGTGTTCTAAATTCAGTTTCATTTTTAAATTTGATTGGGTTCAGTGGCATGCTGGAGGCTGAGGCAGGAGGGTTGCAAGTTCTAGGCCAGCCTGGGCTGCATAGCAAGACCCTGTCACAAAAAACAAAAACAAAACAGCAACAACAAAAAATTTAAAAAGGTAGTGTAAGAAAAGAGGAGCAAAAAAACCCAGATTTTTTTTTGAGGAGCATTCATAGGAATTGAGTACAATTGTGAGAGACTGTTAAACTGACTTGATTAAGCCAATTATGAAATAAAACACCAAGTAACAAACACGATGAGCAAATGAACTATGGTTCATAAGTTGATGACACCCTCCCACTCCACACCCCAACACCAAATAAAACAAAGTAAAATAAAATAAAGCTAGCTGCACTGGTTAGTTCTAAAAGCAAGTGTAAGAAGGCCATCACAGGAGTTTCCTGTGAAGTTAGAGGCTGGGGACAGAGTTTGCAAACTGGCCTGTGAGCCACCTCACATTTGCTGCCTGCTTTTGTATACAAATAGAGTTTTAGTAGAACTAGCATTGCTCATTAGTTGACCTGTTTTTCATGGCTGCTTTTGAGTTTCACAAGCATGGATGAGTATGCGCGACAGAGACTGTGAGGGAAGGTTTGCTGACCTCTGCAGAGATGGGAGGGAGGTTTACTTCCACTTGACTCTTTCAGTTTCATATTGTGTAGTTAAAAACGCTGAGGAGAGGGCTAGTGGAGTGGCTCAAGTGGCTCATGCCTGCTTAGCAAGCATGGGTCCTGAGTTCAAGCCCTAGTACTGCAAAAAAAAAAAAAAAAGATGCATCTTCAGTGAAAACCATCTTTGCTGGCACCAGTGGCTGATGCCTGTAATCCTAGCAACTCAGAAGGCAGAGATCAGGAGGATCACAGTTCAAAGCCAGTCCCTGGCAAATAGTTCGCAAAACCCTATCTCGAAAAAAACCAGGGCTGATGGAGTGGCTCAAGGTGTAGACCCTAGAGCAAGCCCCAGTAATGCAAAAACAAGCAAGAAAACACTCAAGGCAGCCTTCAAGCCTCCATGTTCCAGCTTCTCCTCGCTGGGTGACCAGCATTTCTCACGTGAGTCGCTGACGGTTACACAAGCTATTCACTGCTTTCCCTCGGAGCTTGAAAGTAACATATTTTCCAGTTTAATCACTGGATGTAAAATTATCCTTCTCTGGCCTTCATGAAAAACCAAGAGAATGGTTGAGCTGGAAAAGCAGGATTCTGCTGGGTTTGTTTCCCCAAAACTATTACAATAATATTTTATTTTAAAATTATTATTATTGCTGTGTTTTGAAATAGTATCTTGCTGTGTAGCCCTGGCTGGCATCTAACTCATAAGCCTTCTGCCTCAGCCTCCTGAGAGCTGGGATTATAGGAGTCTGCTGCCATGTCCAGTTCAATTCTGGGGATTGAACTCAGGACTTTGCACAGGTTAAACATACACTCTACCACTGAGGTAACTCTCTAATCCTTATTATATACATGTAAAATGTGAAACATTCACAAAGAATCCTTCCCAATCTTCAAATAAGATGGATGGCCAGATTGGGGTGCTGTTTTTTTCTTGTGACTTTGTGTATACCTGATGCATAATTTTGAGGCTTCCACCGCCTCTGTCTGGGAAGTGTAGTGAAAGGAGAAGAGGCAGGGAAATAGATCAGTAAGCTCTCATCACAGACTACTGATCCCGAGTCCAAAGCATGGAAGGAGTCTGGGTTATTAACCTGGTGTGGATGGGTAGCCTTTTCTGTGTGTTGTCTCCATGTATCAACAGATAAAAACGAGTGCCAGTTTGGAGCCACTGTTGTCTGTGGGAACCACACGTCCTGCCACAACACACCCGGAGGCTTCTACTGCGTTTGCCTGGAAGGCTATCGAGCCACGAACAACAACAAGACATTCATCCCCAACGACGGTACCTTCTGCACAGGTACTCCAGAGGGCTGTGGTGCTGGCCACTTGGTGACGGCAGGACAGTGTCTGGGCTGTGGAGGGAGAGAGGACATGGCCTGGGCAGGGTGATGCCAGACATGGTGACACACATCTGCAGTCTCAGCGGTTCGGAGGCTAAGTCAGGACGATTGCAAGTTTGAGGATGGAATCTAAAGGCGAGCCTGAGCTACATAGCAAGATCCTGTCTCACAAGTCTTAGGGCTGGGGATGTAGGTCAGTGGTTGTGTGCTTGCCTAGTATCGCAAGAAAAACAAAGAAAGAGGGTAATTTGGTCATGGATTGTTCATATTAGGGAATTAATGTTAGTTTGTTAGGATAATGGTACTATGGTATATAGGATAATAATATTCCTATTTGGAAAAAGCATGCTAGAGCGTCTAGAAATGTTATTGTATCTGAAAAAAAATTTTTTTTTGTGGGACTAGGGCTCTATTACTTGAGCCACACCTCCAGTCCACGTTGCTCTGGTTATTTTGGAGGTAGGATCTCGAGAACTCTTTGTCTTGGCTGGCCTTTAACCTCGATTCTCCCTATCTCAGCCTGCCAAGTAGCTAGGATTACTGATGTGAACCACCGATGCTCGGCCTGAAAAGTATATTAAATGGCCAAATTGAACAACTATTTTTTTTTTTTTTTTGTGGTATTTGGGTTTGAACTCAGGGCCTCACACTTGCTAAGCAGGCACTCTACCACTCTGCCAGCCTTTTTTTTGGTTGGGTATTTTTGAGATAGGGTCTCACGAACTATTAAGCCAACTGGCTTCAAACCACAGTCCTCCTGATCTCTGCCCTCTGAGTAGCTAGGATTACAGGCATGAGCCGCTGGGGCCCTGTTGTTGGTTTTGTGTGTGTGTGTATGTGTGGAGCTGGGGATCAAATCCAGGGCCCCCTGCATGCTAGGCAGGCACTCTACCACTGAGCCACACCCCCAGCCCCAGCTATTGAATTTTTATGGTGACTGGGGGCATTTTTTGGGAGTTGATTTTAATGTTATTTTTCTGTTTCTGTGTGTTAGGCATTTTTATAATGCATAAAGGAGGGGGAGCCCTCTGGAGATGGTGTGCCAGCTGCCAGTTCCTGTAACCACAGGTGGTGTGTCCTTGGGATGACTCTGGCACTCACCAGCTCTGTGCTTATCACCCACTAACCCAGGGGGGTGCACCAATGCTGTTGGCTTTCGGTGGGGGGAGGGGGCGCGGCATAGCGCACCATCTCTGGCATGGGCATACCTCCCTTAGAAATAAGCTCAGTAAGGAGTGCAACTTTTGGGACCTCAATCACTTTGTAGCTTCTGCTTCTGGGCATACACGGGTTAAACATAAAGAATGGGCAAACCCCTCCTAATTGTCAGGGGCTCCTCTAGGATCAGAGCTCTCTTTACACATGTCATCTAATCTAGCTCTTTAGCTTTCTGGGAAAATCTTTGAGCGGTCATGAAGAGAAGCAGGAAATGACTCCCAGTTCTAAGATGGTTTGCATAGCCTTCATGACTGCTTAAAAGCTTTGGGATATTCCAAGGTTTTCGGGGGCGGGGGGGAAAGAAAGGGCATATTTTGTCTTCCTGCCACCAGGGGCCACAGCTGCTGACGCTGTGCGTCATTGTCCCTCTTGATCTATGCCACGGTGAAATCCTCAAAGGATGCATTTGATTTGTTCCTGGCATGAATGCATTCATTCCGTCAGAGAAAATGTTTTATAATATCCTGTTGTTTTAGGTAGCAAATTACTAGCTCTGTGGTTGCAGAAGTGCAGTGTTGCTGTATTAAATTCGGTACATTAAAAAGGAAAGGTACTAACTAAAAGAAAACAAACCTTCTAAATATATCATACTTGAATTCGCCCCCTCCACTGCTTTCCTTTATCCCCTCCCCAATTTCTGGAACACTTTCAATAGGTATCATTTTTGTATTTACATACATGTGTACACATTTTTTGCACTATTCACCCTCCTGCCTCCTTTCCCTGCCACCTCTCCACTCTATATGCAACTGTTTGGTGATTTCTTTTTAAAAAATTGAGGTAGAATTCACACTGCACATACTTCCCCCTTTGAAGTATACAGTTTGGTGGGTCTTAGTTTCTTCACCAAGTTGTGCTTCTATTGCCATGTCCTCATTTTGGGACATTTCCATCTCCCCAAATGAAGCCTTCCATCCACTGGCAGTCATTCTCATGACCTTGACTTTTGAGACCCCCAGTTAGCCCTTTCTAAAATCGATGCATGGCTTTTCAAGTTGGTCCTAAAAAGTGCAACGCTTTCAGAATCACAGTTCCTGGAGAAACATCAGTGGACTTTAGCTAGGATGGAGCTCAGCAAATTTTGGGGGACCAGACATTGTGTAGTGTTTGCCTGGAACCACAGGCTGTGAAGTCAAGTTCCTGGATTCCAAGGAATCCTGCATCTAGGCATTCATTGTATTTTGCAGAGTTGAGGTCATGCTCAAGAGCTGATGCCAGCTAGGCTTCTTTGGAGGCCACCAGTGGCGGACGGAATGAGTTAAAGGGGTCTAGTGTGGAATGATCCAGCTGGTTCTGGAGAACTGGCAGATGTTTTGGTCCCCTGAATGACTCCTGGGAGTCACGGAAACTGCCACAAGGCATAGTGCAGGGGAAAGCTCTGTGGCAATTGCTGTTTGAGGGTGAGGTGACTGGGAGGGGTTGAGAGTAAGTGGAGAGAAATGAGACTGATGTGGCTGCCTTCTCCCTGCCAGCATGACTCCAAGTGGGCATGGCCCTCTTAATGTCTGCCGAAAACTGCAAAGTAGCTTCTCTTGCCTTTCTTCTTCTCCTTCTTTTTTAAATTAACCTTTTTATTAGCATAGAATAATTGTACAGAGGGTACTGGGGTTTGAACACAGGACTTTGTGCTCGCTAGCCAGATGTTCTACCACTTAAGCCAGGCCTCCAGCCATTTTTGCTCTAGTTATTTTGGAGATAGGGTCTCACTTTTTGCCCAGATTGGCCTGGACCGGAATCCTCCTATTTTACTTGTACCGCTGTTGCTCAAATGACAGGCTTGTGCCACCAATGCCCAACTTTTTTCTCCTTTGAGATGGGGTCTCACAAACTTTTGGTTTTTGACCTGGGCTGGCAAATGTTTGGCAAACTGTAATCCTCCTGATTTTAGCCTCCCAACTAGCTAGGATTATAGGTGTGAGCCACTGATACCCAGCTTTTCTGTGTCTTTGAATTCCTAAGTCTTGGGGATCCATTCTCACTCTGATGGCAGCAGCAATCTTCTTTTTAGCAAGTTCACTTCCTGTAGCATGAGAGCCTACTGTGATTTCTTCTGGAAAAGTGTGACAGCACCGCCTCAGCCTTAGCTAAGAACGAGGATAAAGGATGAGAGAGGGAGAAGGAGAGAGAGAAGAGGGGAGGGGAGGGGAGGGAAGGGGAGGGGAGGGAGCAACTAAGCAGAGCCCTGGGAGCATGGATCAAGTGATAGAATGCCTGCCTAGTAAGTGTGAAGCCCAGTACCAAAAAAAAAAAAAAAAAAGAAAGATGGAGAGGTTCAGCCTTTCTTCAGTTCCTGGGGCCTTCTGTTCAAAGCCTGAGTCCTACAGATTTGAGGAAAACACCTTCATTCCTAGGTCTAAGTCCTAAGTCTTTCCAGGTTAGGGCTTCTTGACTTTTGTTTGGGTCTTCTGCTGTCAGTGAAGGCCTCAGGCCCGAGCTTTAGCTCTTAGGAAGGTCAGAGAGGCTAAACCAAAGTTCCATCCCCCAGGGAGTGGTGGAGAGTGCCTGAGTGCCCCCTGCAGGTTAGTGTCTCTCACTCTTCCACTTTTCTTTTTTTTTCTTTCCAGTACTGGGGTTTGAACTCAGGGCCTACACCTTGAACCACTCCACCAGCCCTTTTTTTTGTGATGGGCTTTTTAGATGTAGGATTTCACAAACTATTTGCTTGGGTTGGCTTCGAACCACTATCCTCCTGATTGAGTAGCTAGGATTACAGCTGTGAGCCACCAGTGCCTGGCTCACTCTTAACTCTTGTGCCTCCTGTTTCTCACTCAACCCCAGAATATGGATATCACAGGTTCTCCAAGGTCCTGCTGAGCATCATGAAATATGTACACCGACTTCCTTTTTAAAACTCCACTAACTTAAACTTTTGGGAAGTGTAATTAGGACAGGAGTTGGACTCAGATTTTCCTTTGAATTATCTATAAAATAAATTTCCCTAAAGAAAGTACCACCACTGGAAAAACTGTGATGGAAATGTTTGGCTCTTTAAGGACAGGTTCTTTCATGACTAGTGTCTCTCTGAACATGCCCTCAGGAACTAGTCTCTATTTACTTATCTACTGCCATAACAGAAGGTGTGTATCAAAAGGAAGCAGGCTGTGGGGTGGAATGGAGCTGAATGGCCTATTTAGCTTGCAATGGTCAGTGACTATTCTCAAAAGAAGACAGAAAAACCCACCAGCATTTCCCCCTTATATGAAGGAAAATAGCTTTTCTCTCTATTTATTAAAAAGAAAAAAGAAAAAAGTCACCCAGGCCTTGCACTTGCTAGCAAGCACTCTGTCACTTAAATTACAACTTTTTGTTTGCTTTTAGGTTATTTTTTTAGATGGGGATCTCACTTTTTGCAGTCCTCCTACTTATGTCTCTTGCATAGCTGGAACCACAGGTGCACGCCACCATGCTTGCCTTATTTTTCGAGATGGGGGGAGGGGCACTCACTAGCTTTTTAACCAGGCTGGCCTTGAACTGCAATCCTCCTGATCTCCAATTCCTGAGTTGCTGGGATTACAGATGTGAGCCACCACTTCTGGCTGTGAAGAACTCTGAATATTCTGGAAAATTGCTAGTAAAGTACCTTATGCATATGTACTGCAAACATAATTTTAGTCTGAGAACATGTACATTAGGTTAGTGTTACAAGCTGAAACTTTACTTGTACCACACGTGATCTTTTGTCCACATCCAGCTTCATGAAGTGAGGGAAGCAACATGTGATCATCTTTTTCATTTCAAT